GACAGAGAAACCTATCTGGCAGTATTTCCCTTCATGAAGAGAATCATCATTTCCTGTAGAAAGTCAATTTAATAATTACTTGATTTGTCTTCATTTGACATTAAAATTGGTTTGATGATTTTATCAGATTAAGCCAGATAAATATGCCATTTAAAAGAATCTGAAATTAGGAAGGGGGAAATACTTTTTTTTTTTTTTACAACTCTGTATTAGTTTTGTCAATCGCTGATTCACATACAGTATATTTCCAGAATCCCCAAGCCCAGATCTTGAAAAATGGATGGCAAGCCAAGCCTGTCAATTTAAGAGCTTCTGCTGGAGGAAGCAAGGAGATAATTGGAGGGGCCATTCACAATGCAATAGAACATTTTCTGCCTTTTATGCAGTCAAGAATTCATGACAAAGGACTTCAAATTAGGACAAAACAGCTTAGAAGATAATTACAAGAACAGAGTGGACACTAAATGAGGAGAAAAAAAGAACATAGATGGCAGCCACCATGTGAAGAAAATGCACAGCCTGGAGCACATTGACATTTCTGCCCACATAGAGATCAATCTCTTCCTTTTCTCTACCTTCCTTTTTGTTCACTGTTCTTGTCACTTCTTTTACTTTTTTTTATTTTTCAGATAAGGGGGCTTCTTTGGTACTCTAATGGGCCAGTTTTTGGGTCACTGAGCCACAGTCACATTTTGTCCTAACATCCAGATTGATTTTATGAAGGCTGAGCAGCAAGTAGCCAACGCAGATTTGAAGGTACTTTGAAATGTAATTCAAGTCTGACAACTACAAATATATCTGCAGTGTGAGAGAGATGTATCTCCATGTTCCCATTGCCTAAAATTCTATATTGGTGTTTCAAACACCCCCCGCCCCCCACGCTGATCAACATTTACATTCACGAGGCTACACACGCAAACAGATCAATAAAAAGAAATGTGGAGATGCTACACGTTTGAACTGATCATTTCCGAATGACAGGATTAGGATTTAATTTCCTGCAGTGAGACCAAGGACAGCCAAATGCTTTACTTGACAACAAGGACGCTTTCTCTTCTGTCGAATGGACTTGCCATGTGACAACTGGTGCTTGTCAAGCTAACTCTATATGCAGTATTAAAGAATACAACTGAAGAGTAACGGTATTAGTCTTTGGGCATGGCGAGCAGCCATTAGTTGAGTCTGATTGACCTCAATGGATGTGACACACGAAACATTTGTGAAAATGCACTTCTTGAAAGCCTTTGTTCTTTTCTCAACGGAATCAGGGCATTCCCAGGTGTTTCATGAATATATCAAGCAACCATATCAGTCAGGGTCAGAGGATTAAAAAACAAAAAACAAAAAAAAAAACACATTTCAGCATGTGGTCTGATAAGACAGCTTTGATTTATTTCTGAACAAGTAGAACACCAGATTCGGTGAAGGCCCATGCTTTTGAGAGGTTTTAGTTTCATGGGATCTTTTGAAAGCTTTGAGCTGTTTGATCGGTCGAAAGCATAAATCAGATCCAACTGAGCAAAATCAAAGTATTTGGAACTAAGGACTCAGAACTGTTTGAAAAGACTGCATTACACTTTGCAGGATTGGCAAATTATCCAGACAAAAACGAATGCCTGAGCAGTCTCCTCTTGTTACGTCTCTGTCTCTCCAAAAACAAAACACACATTGGGACAAGACGATAATGACTCCACTTGCAACCACTCAGCACGCGGTCTGATGGATAAGCAAATTGAAAGTGATTTGAAAATCCTACGCTGGCCTGGGATGGAATGGAGGGTGATTATTGTGCTGATTGTATGAACACAGTCCCTCCCTGTCCTTCCCTCTCCATTTCAAACCACACTTGCCATTCATCTTTTTGTGCAACTCTTGATTGGTGCACACTCTGAAACAATCACATTTATTTCCACTTGATCATTGCCATGATCCCAATTTTCTTTTCTCAGTTCCCTGTGAATCAAAGTCAAATTGATGGACAATCCAATCCAATCAATATAAACAAGGGGAGAGAGACAGAGAGAGATAACAGGATATCTGAGTTGTAGAGCGTGGCACTGTGATATGATAATGATCAAAATGTGCTGTTTTCCTCACAAAATACTCCGTTTTATAACATGTTGATTCGATGACACGCCGAGGCAGATGCTGTATAACGTGTTGTTGTCAACGAGTTCCCGTTTCACAGGAGCCATCGGACTTCATTTCTCATAGGTAGGGCCAGATGGCTCCTGTTTTCCAGGGCCGGCCTCATGACAACATAACAGAATTGCGTGAGAAAGAGTTGTTCAGCATAATAGTTTGTGAAACGCCAGTTGATAACGAAGCAAGTGTGGCGCCAGAAGGGCTGAATTGGTCACTCACTCCTTCTTTCGCACACGCTCAGAGAAGGATAAGAGGAGGCTTTGCCGTCCCCTTGCTAGAGTCTGCTGAGGGTTGCTTACGAACGCCCAGCTGGTATTGAAGCTCGCTCTACCAAGGGTGTTGGCTCTCCACCCTATTGGCGCACGGTAAGAGTTGATTCATTTCTTTGTAGCTTAATACCTCGCTTGCTGTTGAATGATAGTGTGACATATTCTGTGGCGCTAATAAACGTGCAATTTGTTAGTAGCAGATTTGTCTCTTGTGATTCATTTCTGAGTGCCTATCTCCAACGATCCTATTCTAAATTTGATACTGAGCCAGGGCGAGGTATCAGAAATGTTTTAAAACACACTGTTACAGATCTCACAGTTTTTCTTCTTTCCCCATTTGGCCAGAGACTCACATTACATGGATTTGTAGCTACTTCGATGAAACATTGAGTCTACCTGCATGTGTACCATAATAATGGTTCCTGTGTGAGATTTTATCAAACATGAATCAACAGGACAAGCGGTTGATGGGTATATGTTTGAAACAAAACAATTGTGCTAATCAAATCACACACACACACATATATATATATATATATATATATATATATATATTTTTTGCATTCCTAAAAGTGCACTATTTCTATATTTCATTACATAATGCAGGCACAAGTAATGGTAACATGCCAAGATTTGGGATCCCAACACCGAGTAAAAAATAAATAAAAATAACCAATTATCAATCCAATCAGAACATGGACAAGTCTATCCAATCGATTTCAACAACTAGTTCATTTACTGTGCAGTCGACCCACGCTACTCGCGCCTACGCATGAACAGCCCAAATTTGGAGAGAATTGGTGTCATTGAAATGTCGCGGGAGGATGGGGGAATCATAGCAATTTAAACACTAAAAGTTCACCCAAAAATGCTGAGAAACATTGAATACACGGAAAATGGGGGGGAAGGGGGAATTAAAATCTTTTTGTTAAGGATGGACACATCGCCAAGCATGACTATCTTCTACCTCCACGTTGACAACTTCCTCACATCATTGAGTATTTGCTAAGGCTGGTAACACTTTTAGTGAACGCTAATCTGTGCTAATACCGAAACTCTGCTCCGTGGCTCAACTCCAGCTGTTGCTAGGATATGGCGGATTCTCAGCCAGTCGAGATGCCAAGTCATGGGCAGAGAAACTCCGCGTGGGGGCACAATTATGTCACTTAGGAACATAGTTATGTCACAATCTGGAACATATCAGAAAGATTTACTCAGTTGGGTCATTTCACACTTGGTCTGCAGACAGACAAGCCTGATAGCCAACTATTTCTACATATGAGCTCTTTAAAAGTACATTTTCTTTTGAAACAACAGGCAAAGCTGCAATAAAGGTGCTGTGAAGAGTAGAGTGTTTTCAATGACCCGCATCTTGAAACTGTGGGAAGACAACTACTGGTATGTCATGCCCTAGATTGAAAATGCGATGGTCTGTGCCTATGCTATCGAGGGTCAGATGTCACTTTAAGAACATTCAAATGATTAGAATGTTGAAGCAGCTTGTAGACAAATTGAAGACCTTCAGTAATCTGTGAAGTCATCCAATAACCCTTCATTTAAACAGTTTCATAATCCTCGTTAACTGCATTCAACATGGTCAATACGCGTGTGAAAATGTTAAGACTGCACAAGCGTGCATCTCAAAGTGAATCGTCGTTGCTCTATTAATTAATCTGTTGATAGCCTTCTTTGAAAAACAGAGTTCATAGGTTAAGCATGTTGTAATCCTTACATTTGAGGCTGATTTCCATAGAATTCTAGGCAAAATTAAACAGTTAAAAACATGTATATTATTGAGCTACCTTTTTTTATGCGACTATCTTAAAAAAATAGTGATTTTTATGGTTTTATTGAAGAGTTCTGGAAACTCTCACATAATTGCCACAACTCGGCTGTTTAATTTCTCACTGATTAAGGCGAGCACTGTGGACGTCCAAATATTTATATACCAACAATAAAAAAAAAAATCATAATATATCCCACGCTATTTTAAAATTTTCATTATCTTATTTATTTGTAAAATGTAGCCAGGATCCTTCCCAAGCAGCAACTGCAGGAAGGGGGAGAAATGTTCCAAAAGAGAAATGGGGGTGGGGGGGGGGGGTCGTCATCATTCATAATCTGCCACAAACGCATGGCTTGCATCACGTGGTCACTGACATCTGCCCAGCAGAGATGACAGCTTGCATTGTCTCGGACGTGATTATGTTGCGTAGGAGCTGCTAGGGTATTATTACAGTAACAACAAATGAGTACATGTCACTAACAAACTACTGGAAAGCGGTTTAAAATAATATGAATATTCTCTACATTTATTACATGAAGCCCAAGGTACACACAGTACGCCACATTCATTCGTTGTTTTTCCTCGTACTGTACGTGCTATTATTGCGGTTACCCACACCAATTAAAAGCATAGCATAGCCAAACAGTTCTCAGAAATCAGCAAATGGGGAGGTTCCTTGATCGGAAAAGTTACACATCCAAAAAAAAACACGTTGCCAACACTGCTCGCTTGCACTCCCAACCAATCAGCAGCTATTAAGGACGGGGAGCGACAAAAGTTATACAATGAGCTTCGTTTACCTGATAATGGCTGTGTCACCCTGGCGGACCGTGATGTTGTCGGTGGCCCGTTGCATATCCACACTCCGGACGGGGAATCCTGTAGGAATGAGACACAGCAGTCTGAAAAAAGAAGCCTGCAACTGCCTCCAAAACGATTTGCGTCCGACGAGCATTTTTTTTTTTAAAAGCTCTGCAGCGCGTTGTTTCGGCAGCAATCCAAGAGATAGAAAAAAGAATCGGAGTTGTTCTCCAGAAGTCTTAAACAAACAGTCAGGTCCAATACAGTCCAGTAAACTACTTGAAAACGTGCAGCTCCTGCCGTCGCTCGATCGACCAATGATGTGCAAAGCTTTCGTTTTCCAAAGTGTTGTGAAATGTCTCTCGCCCACTCACACACCCCTCTCCCTCTCTGTCTCCCTCTCTTTCGTTCTTTCTGGTTATCCAGTGGCTGGCTGTGATGCTCCCTATTGGTTGTCAGGACAACAGCACCCCCCAAGGTCCCTTAAACTGGCACACAGTGCAAGAGGCAATGGCAATAGTTTTAGAGAGACGCGTGACCTTTTTTTTGTGTGTGTACAGTATGAAAGTTGCTGCAGAGTAAAAAAGATTCGTTTTTAAGCATGCTTGAGAATAACTGTTGTGAATGTGCAAGGACTGAGAGCTAAGTGGAAAAAAAGAATAGCGATACAGCATTCAACTGTTTTTCACCATGTATTTTTTTCCTTCACTGCACTGTTGGCAGCAACCATGCAGAGTACATTTTCTCAGTTTCATTAATTGCGACAGAGGTATGTATCGGTTTACATTTCGGAGCCAATCTTGTCCCGATGGGCTTTGCTTTGATTTCACCGTTGATGGTTCTGACAACATGATCCAGATGAATCTTTGAGTAGCGTTCATTCACACACACACACACACACACACACACACACACACACACACACACACACTGATTTTGAATGGCGCGACTGCCTGGGAGACAACCCT